CACAGCAACATTTAACACAAACACTGGAACATTTAAAACAAACACAGGAACATTTAAAACAAACACAGGAACATTTAAAACAAACACAGGAACATTTAACACAAACACAGCAACATTTAACACAAACACAGGAACATTTAACACAAACACAGCAACATTTAAAACAAACACAGGAACATTTAACACAAACACAGCAACATTTAACACAAACACAGCAACATTTAACACAAACTTTTTAGTTCTTTCCTGTAAGAAAAATAGATTAGATGACATTCTTTGCAATAAGACAGAAAGCATCAGATACACAGAATCCTTTATCTTTTCTCCTTTTTTTTCACATTTAATGAAGAATGTAGGTCCTTTGTTCTCAGTCACTGAAGAGTCTGGTTAAAGGCATTTATGATCCCTTTGAAGAGGAGCAAACAGACAGTCCTGTGCTTATGGGGGATGGAAGCAACAGAACTTGTGGGGTTCGGAACAGGAATGTGGCAATTCTTATCTATTAACAGTAAGGCGTCAGGACAACTGGTGGGGGTTTGTGTAAGAGATGTTAATTCGAGCCACAAAGGAAGTTCCATGCAAAAGTCTTTAGAAATAGTCTGAAGTTAAAGTGGGGGTTTTCTTCCTCTTTGAGCCGTTGTCATAGGAACAAGTGAAATCTAATCAGAAATGATTATTTATATGCAGGAAAATGCTACACCCTTAATAAAGAAAACCTTTTAAGTCATCATCTACTTGTTGGGTTGTCACTAGGAAATTCCACCTGATTTTTGGTTACATGTCACTGGAAAACCAAAGTTCAGAAGTGTTATTCTTGCCTTCAGGGTACTCAAAAACAGCTTTGGGTCTGTAATGCTACATTCACACCGTACGCGTTTTGAGCGGCCAAAAAGCAMAAAACGCTTCTCGTTGGACGCGCYATTTTCAGACCGAAGAACGCACTAGTGTTCAGACCAGAACAAGCAGCAGCAGCGGGGTGTGGGAGGAGCATGTCCTTGGTGGGTGAATAAAGATAAAATAAAAGAAAATGGCTTTGATTTATTTACTAAAGAGCAAGCAAACGTTGTGCACAGCAGATAATTAACTCACCAGATGATTTAGAGGCGATTTGTTTGGTTAGTTTCGTCACTCCAGAAGCTGCCAGCTGACTGACTCAGAAACTCAAAATTTCTATTAAATGAGATTATTTTAGTGCATGCTATTGATTTAGTGTTATTTTTCATGAATATGAAACTAAATACACAGATTGAGATGAATCTTGAAAGCCTGTTCTACCATTAAGACATCTTTTAACAATTTCTTTCCTCGTTTCTCTTTGTTCAGAGGCAGTCAGGGGCATTCCAATGTCCAGTGGGATGAATGGGAGTGGTATGGTTCCTACCAGCCTTAGTGGGCAGCAGCTGGCCTCTGCCATCCCCTCACCCACAGCTGGGAAGTCCTGGCGCAGCAAATCCATGAACCTCAAGCACAGCTCAACTTCCTCCATGCTGGCTAGCCCCACACACTCGCCTTCCACCACACCTTGCCCGCAGACCCTCGAAGGCCTCCAATTGCACAGAAGCGACGGGTCGAAGGTCGGTCCAGGTGCTCCATCTCCCCAGAGATCAATGTTAGAGAAGTTTCGCCTGATCAACCCTCGTTCAGCTTCAAGAGCGTCACCATCTATGGCAGAAATGGCTCTGCAGGAGGAAGATGACCTGTCAGAGTACGGTGAAGAYGGACTGACCCCCACGGGCTCAGTGTGCAGCAGTGGCAGTAGCAGTGCTACAGCCAAACAAATCACTACAAAGACTCCAGCATCATCCCTTTCTGCATCCAGCAAAACCTCATCTTCATCCATGTCCTCATCTTCAAAGGCCAGCAGCAGCAGGTCTTTGACTCCATGCAAAGACAAGGATGACAAAAGCAAACTTAGGAAGTCTTCTAAAGACAACTCACCTCCAAAAGAGGAGCGGGAGACTTTTGCTGACTCCACAAAGAAGACCTCAAAAATTGCCAGCCTCATCCCCAAGGGAGGAAAGTCATCATCAGGGAAGAAGGATGCGTCCAGCAGCATCCCAAAACCAGGGCTTAAAGCCCCCTCCACAACATCAGCAAAGTCTCAGAGCTTGTCCCAAACCCAGAACCAAGCTGCCTTAAACAGCAGTGGCAACATGCGGACAGGAGAAGGTGAAAGAGCCAAGCTGACCAAAGAAGGACAAGGTGGCAGTTTTTACATACAGCGCTCAACTGGCTGCTCCGAAGGCAAGCGGAGCAGCATGACCTCATCTTCCAGTACGTCAGCCCTGTCTGGGTCTAGTGGGATGCTGGGAGGTGGAGGGGCAGGAGGATGTGTACTTGGAGGAAATGGAACAGTTCAGCTTCCTCAGCAGCAGCAGCACAACCACCCCAACATGGCCACCGTTGCACCTTTCATGTACAGGTGAGTTGTACATGTAGGACACAAGTTTAGTAAATGAGTTGCTACTCCAACACAGTGTATAATGTATTTCAGTGAGTAAAATTAAAGCTGGTGTTGCATAGTGGCTCAGTTGGTAGAGCTTTTGCCTCTTAGCAAGAAGGTTGCTGAATCAAATCCTGGCTGGGGACCTTTTTGGGTAGAATTTGCATGTTCTATTTGTGCATCGTGGATTTTCTTCGGGTACTCCAGTTTCCTCCCACAGTCCAAAAACATGACTGTTAGGTTCATTGTTAACGCTAAATTGTCCCTAAGTGTGAGTGAATTGTTGTTTGTCTTGTTTGTCTCTGAGCCCCTGTGATGGACTTGTGGCCTGTCCAGGTGTCCCCCGCCCCTCACACACTGTGACTGCTGGATATGAGCACCAGTGACCCGTGTGACCCTGAAAGGAAGAAGCGGGAATAGATAATGGATGGATGAAATTTAAAGTTAACTTTAAAATTTGAAATGTAAATTGACATCACATTCATGTTGTTGGACCACCTCGACAAAATGCATGTGAGCATAAAGAGGTATTGTGAACTCAACTCAAAAGGCCCAGAAGAAAATATTACTGTTTAAGTCAAAACATTTACTTATTGTGGTTGTTAAAGGGATCCCTGATTAGTTGTAACGTTAAACTTTTTTAATAAACATTTATTTTAACTGTAAAAGAAAGACTGTAAAATGTTTTAACATGGACAGAGCCATTTTATTTACACACAAAGCATTCTGGGTAAATGATGACGTGGATAAGTCCTCGGTGTGAGCG